CGCTCAAGGCGGTGCTGGGCGGCGGCGGCAAGGGGATGCGCATCGTGCGCTCGCAGGGCGAGATCTAGCCGAGATCTGGCGGAGATATGGGGAGGTATGGTGGGGATGCGCATCGTGCGCTCGCAGGGCGAGCTTGCGAGGGCGGGCCGAGGGTGAACGGATGTCTGCGCCAGCAGCCACCGGGCGAACAGGCGAGCTGCTCGCCGCGATCGAGTCGGCACAGCGCGAGGCGGCGGCCTCCTTTGGCGACGCGCGGCTGCTGGTCGAGCGCTATCTCGACTCGGCACGACACATCGAGGTGTGCACGTCTTCTTCTCCCCGCGGATCTGCCCGCAGATCTCCCCCAGATCTCCCCCAGATCTCCCCCGAGAATTTCCTTTTGCGAGGGGGGGGGGCCTGGGAAAAGTTCCCGCAGGGGGGGAGGAAAGTTCTTGTTGAAACCTCCCCCGCCTTTTCCCGTCGCAAAATCAACCAAACCCCACCCCACCCGCCTCCCCCCCCCCCCCCTCCCCTCTTCCCGGCAGGTGCAAGTCTTCTGCGACAGCCTCGGCGGCGCGGTCCACCTCTTCGAGCGCGACTGCTCCGTCCAGCGCCGCCACCAAAAGGTCCGCCCACCCCACCCCCGCCCTCCCCGCCGCCTCCCTCCCCGCCGCCGAGCCCACCGCCTCCGTCGCCGCCTCCGCCGAGCCCGCCCCTCCATCGCCCCCACCTCCAAGCCCACCCCCGCCCTCGCCGCCGCCACCAAACGGTGCTGGACGAGGCGCCCGCGCCCCATACCCCCCCCCGCCCCGCCCCGATCTCCCCATATCTCCCCCTATCTCCCCCACAGGTGCTGGAGGAGGCGCCCGCACCCGGAGTCTCGCCGGAGCTGCGAGAGTCGCTTGGTGCTGCCGCCGTGCGCGCGGCGCGTGCGGTTGGCTACGTCGGCGCGAGGGCCTGCACCGCGACGATGAGCTTCGCCACCCGCCCCTTCTCCTTGGTCATAGGTGGACTACGTCGGCGCGGGCACCGTCGAGTTCATCGCCGACGCGAGCGCGCCAAACCACTTTTACTTTATGGAGATGAACACGCGGCTGCAGGTCGAGCACCCCGTGACGGAGATGATCACCGGCGTCGACGCGGTCGAGCTGGCAGCTCCGAGCTCCGTGCCATCTCCCCTGACCCCCCCCCCCGCCCCCCGCTTGCTCTCCCGCGTAGGCCTCGACTTGGTCGAGTGGCAGCTGCGCGTCGCCGCCGGCGAGCCTCTCCCCCTCTCGCAGCCCGAGCTCTCCCTGTCGGGCCACTCGATCGAGGCGCGCATCTACGCCGAGCGCCCCGCCTCCAACTTCTTCCCCGCCTCGGGCACGCTGCGCCACCTGGCGACGCCGCCCGAGGAGGGCGTCACCGTCGCGCCCGCCGAGGTGCGGCGAGAGGAAATGAGAGGGCCCGAGAGCACCCGAGAGCACCCGAGAGGGCCCGAGAGCACCCGAGAGGGCCCGAGAGGACCCGAGAGGACCCGAGAGGGCCCGAGAGGACCCGAGAGCACCCGAGAGGGCCCGAGAGCACCCGAGAGGGCCCGAGAGAGGTGCGGCGCATGCGCAGACGGCGTCGCGGCGCGCGCCGAGGGGGTGGAGTCGTGCGTGGTGGCTGGTAGGTGCGCGCCTCCACAGACGGCCTCGCGACGCGGGTCGACATGGGCTTTGTCCGCGGCGACGACGCGCTGTGCGTCGGGCGGACGACCCGACGACGCCACGGGACCAGCGCAGGAGTGTGCCGAGAGTATAGGAGACGACGTGTCGGTCTTTTACGACCCGATGGTCGCCAAGCTGATTGTGCGCGGCCCGGACCGCGCCGCCGCGTGCCGCCGCCTCCACGCGGCCCTCGGCCAGTGGCAGACCGTCGGGCTGCCGACCAACGTCTCTTTTTGCCGGCGCGCGCTCGGGACGTTCAGAAAGGGGGGGGGGGGGGGTAGTGGGGGGGGGGGGGGGAAGGGGTAGGCGGAGGCGGAGGCGGAGGGCCCGTGCGCGAGGCTTTCTTAGGCGGTGCTCGAGATTCGCCGAGATTCGCCGAGATTCGCCGAGATTCGCCGAGACTGCGCGCGAGTCTTTCCCAGGCGCGTGCTCGAGACGCCTCAGTTCCTCGCCGGCGAGGTGCACACCGCCTTCATTCCGCAGCACCACGACGCCCTCTTCCCGCCCACGCCGCCGCCGCCGCCGCACTTGATGGCCCTCGCCGCCGTTTGCTGGGGGGGGGAAAAGCAGCCCCCCGCCGGGAAAGCCGGTTAAGGCGGCGGCGCCGCCGCCGCCCGGCCGCCGTTGCCGTTTGAGAAGCTGGGGTTCCCCCACTGCGGTTTGTCTGTTGCCGGAGGCGGAGGGGGGGCCTCCGCCGCCGCCTCGCCGCTGCTGCTGCAGGCGCCGGACGAGGATGCAGGGTGTGTGTCTCGTCTTCTCTTGTGGTGTACCCGCTGTGTCTCTCCTTTCTCCTACAGGCGTCGGACGAGGAGGGGGCGCCCGCGGGCGCGCCGATGCAGCTCCGCTTGTGGCGCGCCGGCGAGGGCGGCGCGTCGTACGGGTACCGCGTCGAGGGCGGCGAGGGCGGCGGCGGCGGCGGCGCGGACGGCTGGCAGCCGTCCGAGGGGCAGGTGGTGCTGCCGAGATTGGCCGAGATTCTGCCGGATTGCCCGTCCGAGGGGCAGGTGGTGCTGCCGAGATTGCCCGAGATTGCCCGAGATTGCCCGTCCGAGGGGCAGGCGGTGCTGCCGAGATTGCCCGAGATTGCCCGTCCGAGGGGCAGGTGGTGCTGCCGAGATTGCCCGAGATTGGCCGTCCGAGGGGCAGGCGGTGCTGCCGGTGGCCGTCTCGCGGACCCGCGGGGGCCCTTGATCGGTCATGAACTCGTGTCGGTGAGTAGGTCGAGCTGGTGGAGGAGTCTGCCGCTGGGGCGAGCCGCATCTTCCGCGCGCAGATTGGGGGCGAGAGCGTGCGGGGCGCGGCCTTCATCGAGCGGCCAGCCACGGATGAGCCCGCGGTGCGCGAGATGGGGGGGAGGGGGGGGTGGGGTGGGGGGAGGTGGGGGGAGAGATGACCAGCTACAAACACGAGCTTGCGGTGCTGCACGATCATCTCCCCCCCCCCCTTCCTCTCCTCTCCTTCTCGCCACGCTATCGCCGTCCCCGGCTCCCCTCGCCCCGCCTCCTCCCTCTCCTCATTGCCACGCCACCGTTGGCCCTCAGGCCGCGGCCGAGGTTCACTTGTTTGTGGGCGGAGAGCAGCTGCGCGTGTCCGTCTCGGACGTCGCCACCCAGGCCGCGGCGCGTGCGGCGGAGGCGGCGGCGTCGGAGGCTGGAGCCGTGCAACGGCCGATTGTCGCGCCGATGCCGGGTGCGCGCGGCCGCGCCCGTCTCGCTGTTTGATCGCCCGAGGGAGACGCGGGTGTCGGCTGTCCCGCAGGCAAGCTCGTGCAGCTGCTCGTCGCCCCCGGCCAGCGCGTCGCGCCGGGCGAGGCGGTCGCGGTGCTCGAGGCGCGATGAAGCTGGAGCACGCGCGCGCGTGTCGCCCTCCCCTTCTTCTGAGCCGCGCCCGCCCTGTCTCGTGTTGTGCAGGCGATGAAGATGGAGCACACGCTCGTCGCCGCCGCCGAGGCGACCGTCGACGTGCTGCACGCCGCCGCGGGCGACGTCGTCGCGCAGAAGGCGCTGCTCGTCACGTTTGCCACCGAGGAGGCGGCGTGAGCAGGGCCGAGGGGGGAGAGAGGCCCGCAGCGAGGCCGGAGGCTCGCGCGGTTGTTGCTGGCACGTTTGCCTGCCGGTGGGCACAGGGGGAGTCTCCGGTTCCCCGCGCGCGAGAGCGAGAGAGAGGGGGCGCGCGGCGAGAGCATGGTGTAGTTTGCTGGTGTTGCGTACGAGGAGTGTACTGGAGTGCGCAGGGGGGCGGGGCTGTCAGCTCACGGGGGTGCTGGCGGATGCTCATGCTGCCAGCAATATCGTCCGTTCGTCGCGTGTGTGTTGAGGTAGAGCAGCACCGTGCGGTTGGCTGTGTTACACGACCGTAACGCACTAAGGGGACGCGCGCAAGCCTCTTTCTGGGAGCCCAGGAAAACAATTTACAAAATAAAACTTTGCATCGTCCGGGAATCGAACCCGGGTCTCCCGCGTGGCAGGCGAGCATTCTCCCACTAGACCAACGATGCTGCAAGACTATGAGGGAATTGTACGTACGTCCTCTGCCACTCTGGCAATATATACTCACCTACGTCCACGGCCCTCGTCTCACGCGATGGGGGGGGCATGCACCTCGTGCAGAGCGACCGCCGACGAGTCCGTAATAATGGACCCTGCAGCTCAGGTGGTCCAGCAGGCAGCAGAGGAAGGCCTTGCCCTGATTCCCAGCTTGTCCGACGTCTCGCAGTTCCAGAATGTGGGAAAGTGTAAATTTGCCGATCACTTCACTGCCACTGTCAGGCGTGATGGAAAGACAGTGTCTCTCGGCACCTATAAAACGGCCGAGGAGGCGGCCCTTGCCTACGCCAAATCTCCCGAGGGGCGGCCCGCTGCAACCGAGCGCCACGCGATGAAAGAGGCAGCGACAAAGGCGCTCATGTGTTTCGACACGGATGGGAACGGGCTGGACCAGACCGAGTTCACAGAAGCACTCCAAGCCTTCCGCTTCAATCGAGACAGCAAAAAAATGCGAGACACCATCTCCAACATCTTCGCTAAGTGCGACGTGGATGGGAACGGCCGGCTGACAGCAAAGGTGCGCCACCCCGGCCTCCCCTGGCCTATAGGGCCTCCAACACAGTCACACGAAGACAAGAACGTGGGTGCGGGTGAAGCGCGCCGATACCACCGTGCACCCCACAGGAACTGACCGCAGGGCTGCCGACCAGCGTCCTCTCGAGGATCACAAAGAAACTGGAGGCGGGCTGGGCTTTCGACCCTGCCGTCTGGGCCACCCCCTCGAAGGCTGCGACCGTCATGGGCAACAGTGAGGCCGAGGTAGGCGGTGACCTATGACTTGGCCGTTAGTCAGAATTCGCGTCGGAGTCTCTTCTCGCGGCAATCCCGTCCTGTCCCTGTGTGGAGTTGAGCGCCATTGGCGCGGCGTCAGGACCCTGTCCTCGTCCCTGTCTGTTTTCTTTCTGGGCGGCGAGGCACTTAGCTAAAAAGAATTTTACAGTGTTGTGCAAAAAAAGAATGTTACGGTGGTTTTTGATTCACGCGCGCCGCGCGATCGGGGCTGGTGCGCGGTAGGGGCGGGTGGCTGCGCGGGATAAAGCACTTGTGTGCAGCAAGGGACGCGGACAGGTGCGCGCAACACAACCCCTGCCTTAGACGAGTACAGCTGCTCGTAAAAAAAGACTACGAAAAGAGTACCCGGGGCTCCCCATTCGGGAGAGTGTGAGGGCCTGTGAACATCCTTAGCTTGTGAGCCAGGAAAAGGGTTGGCGTTTTTCCTTCCAAGAGGTAGACGCGTGTGGCTACTAGCTAGAGCCGAGGCGTTTGCTCAGAGCTTTACTTGCCCGCTTACGAGCCGCCTGTGCAGCTCTACATCCAGAGGCCTGTACGCCCCCGCCGCCTCCTCGTAGAGCCACACGTCGCTGACGACCGCCGGGTCGAAGCCTTGCTCCACCAACTTGCCCTTCCGAATCTTGAAGGTGGCCGTGAGCTCTAGGGCCGGCAGGAGCCGCACGAAGAGCGGCCGGGCGTACCGGGGTAAGGACGCCACGGTCTGGGCCAGCGCCTCAACGCTGAAGCTGCGGCCTCGACGACGAGCGCCGCCATGCCGGCGCGGCCCTCGAGCGAGCCGACAGAGACGCCGTAGACTGTCGACTCGCTCACGCCCGGAGCGGCGCTCAGTATCTCCGCCACCTTTGGGCACTCGGTGCGAGGGTCGTTATGCACACGCGGTGAGATCTCTCCGATCGATGATTGGCCTCTGGTGCGCGCACCTCCGCCGTCGACACGTTCTCGCCCTTCCAGCGAAACGTGTCGCCGATGCGGTCACGAAGTACACGAACCCTTCCGCGTCTTGCCGGACGAGGTCGCCCGTCGAGAAGTAGAGGTCTCCGACCGCCGCAACGTCGCGCAGGATCTTCTTCTCCGTCGCCGCACGGTCCGTGTAGCCGTCGAAGCGGCGCGTGACGTCGGCGTTATCGATGAGGCCGAGCAGCTCGCCAACCTCGCCCGCTGCCGCCTCCACGCAGCGGCCGGCCGCGCCGTGTGGGGCCACGGCGAGCCTCGGCGAGAAAGGTCAGCGCCCTATCTCACGCCATCGGTTGGGTAGGGATCCCAGTGAGAGCCGCCTCGTCGAAGGCTCCCCGCTCCTTCGAGGCCTGCTGCGTCCGCACCACCTCCATCGCGTTCGCCGTCTGCGCCTTGAGCTTCGCCACCTTCGCCTTCCTCTCCCGCTCCGCCGCCGCCTCCCGGTCCTCGCGGCGGTCCGCCAGGGGGTCGTCGCCGCCGTCGTCAGCCACGATCATGGCCGTGACGGCCTCGCCCGCCATATCGTTCTCGCCGGTCGATCGCGCGTCCCAAAAGTCGCGAAAAGTCGCCAAAAGCGGCGGCGAGTCGCAATCACCCGCCCGCCGTCCCGGCGGTCCCGCAGCTCGCGCGAATCTCCCTCTACCCACACTTAACATCTATATAAGGGATCCCTAGTCCCCACTCGCATCGGTTGCCGAGGAGTTTTTCGCCATCGAAATGCGCGGAGGCGTCGCCGCAGCACCAGCCGCTCCGCCTTTCCTGCACGAGCCGAGAGCATGAGGCGACGAACCAAATCAGCCGCCCACGCCGCGCTGCACGTCCTTTTCGGCTCGCGGCTGAATCTGCTCCTGCCGTGCGGCCCTGCGGCGCTTTTGGCAGCGCGCCTCGGCATCGGCGACGAGATCTCTTTCCTACTCGCGCTTGCAGCGCTCTGCCCGCTCGCCGAGCGCATTGGCTACGCCACGGAGCAGGCGGCGCTCCACACTTCGAGCCAGGCTGGCGCGCTGCTCAACGCCACCTTTGGCAACGCGACTGAGCTCATCGTGTCGCTCTGCGCCATCCGCGAGGGGCTGCTGCGGGTGGTGCAGCTCTCGCTACTGGGCTCGGTCCTCTCGAACCTGCTGCTCGTGCTCGGCTGCGCCTTCTTCTTTGGGGGCGTGCGGCACGCCACGCAGCGATACGACCAAAAGAGCGCAGAGGCGCACGCCGCAGTCCTGGTCCTGGGCGCCGTGACTATGGTTGTTCCGGACGTCCTCGGCGAGGGTCACTCCCGAGACACTTGCACAGCTCACAGCTCACAGGACAGCTGGTGAGAGGACACCCGCGCCCGACAACCCGAAGCTGCACGCTGCAGGCGAGACAAAGTCGTCGCGGCACGAGGACACGGAGAGCGACGTGCTCTCGCTCTCGCGGTGGGTCTCCGTCGTGCTCCTCTTCTCCTACGCGAGCTTGATCGCCTTTGAGCTCGGCATCTCCCCCGCACCTCCCGAGATCTCCCCCCCTCTCTCCCCCTCTCCCGAGGCCCTAGACGCGGAGTGCGAGGGCGTCTGAGCTCACACCAGCACCCCTTCGAACACGCGTGCTCGAGGCTGCGCTCCGCTGGACTGCAGTCGCCATGCACGCCGTGCGAAGCCCCTGCCCGTACACCCAGGAGAGGGGCCGTCTGCCGCGCGGCAGAGCGGAGCCAGCAGCGAGACGTCACAGCCCGCCCCGAGGCTGGAATGCTCCTCCTCCCACAGGCGTCGGCCGCCGCCCGCACACAGTGGCCTGCCTCCCCGCCGCTGCGGCAGACGACGACGACGACGGGGAAAAGGACGAGGAGGCGGCCGCGGCGGCGGCGGCGGCGGCGGAGGAGGAGGAGGTGGAGGAGGAGGAGGAGGAGGAGCTAAGCTTCCGCCAGTCGACCGTCGCGCTGGCGCTGCTGTGCGCTGCCACGGCGGGACTGTCCGAGGTGGTTGTCGGGTCGATCCAGGGGGCCGCGGCGGGTGCGAAGGTTCCACTCGCATTCGTCTCCACCATCTTGCTGCCCATCGTCGGAAACGCCGCCGAGCACGCGTCCGCGGTCATGTTCGCCGTCAGGAACAAGATCTCCCCCCATCTCTCCCCCCCCCATCTCTCCCCCTATCTCGAGGCCTTAGACGCGGTCGCCCTCGCCGCCAGGAACAAGCCCGACCTCGCCATCGGAGTCGCGGTCGGGTCGGCGACGCAGATCACGCTGCTGGGCTTCCCGGCGTCGGTGCTATCTCCCCATATCTCCCCCCTATCTCCCCCACATCTCCCCGTATCTCGAGGTATTCCCGGCGTCGGTGCTGCTCTCCCTACTCACCCGTGCGCGCTGTTGTTTCTTTTTTACCCGCCGTGTTCTTTTCTAGGTGCTCGCGGCGTGGGCATATGGCGAGCCTCTCTCGCTCGATATGCTTCCCTTCGAGGTGCGTGCGATGGGAGATTTGATGAATGCAAAGAGACAGAGAGAGGGGGGGGGGGACAGGGAGTGGTGCGTGTCTGCAGATGATCGATGACACCCGAGATCGCCCGAGATTCATTCGCTGTTCCTGGTGCTGCCCTTCGAGACGGCCTGCCTCGTGCTCGCCACCTCGCGCCACCTCGCGCCATCTCGGGTCATCTCGGGTCATCTCGCGGCTAGACGGCCTGCCTCGTGCTCACCATCCTCGGCGTGGCGACGGTGCTGCCCTCTGGCCGCTCCAACTGGCTTAAGGGGCTTACTCTCATCAGCCTGTGCGTGTGGTCCTAGAGGCGGAAGATCTCCCCATATCTCCCCGTATCTCCCCGTATCTCCCCGTATCTCCCCGTATCTCGAGGCCTAGAGGCGGAACACGGACTCTTTGTCTTTCCAGCCAGCACCCGCGAGGCACGGACTCCGCTGTATTCGGCCGTGCTCAGCTGTGTTCACTGTATTCGCAGCCCCCCCCCCCCCCCCCCGTCTTCCCGCAGCGCTATGAAGACTCTGCACACTGCCGTCTTCCCGCCCTGATGTCGGTGTCTTCAGCATGTAGGTACGTGGTCATCGCTCTCGCATTCCTTTTCCATGACTCGTCGGAGACGCGCGCGCCGGCGGCCGCGAAGCACAAGCGGCTGGGCTGATGCCGCGGAAGGGGCTCTCGTGGCCGTGCTGGCTCCGTGGCTGTCGGCAGTCGGGGAACCGTACGTTAGAGACCGCGGGGCGCCCGCGCGTGGAGTCTGGTTGGTGCATGTACGAGGTAGCGTGGAGTACAGTATGGTGCACGTATTAGTGTGCGCGGGGCCCCCCGGAGGCACCGTGCGCCGCGCCGCAGTGCGGAAACGGGGCCCCGGCGCTCAGAGTCGCTCAGAGCACCAACTTCCCAATTAAGCTAGGTTACAGATAGACCCTCCAACCATCAGAAACCTCCGACCTGATTGGTCGCACTGACCGCCGACGATCACTCCTGACCGGACAGTGCCCAGACAGGCCGACGAGCGACGTCTGCACGCGGCCGGCCGGGCGAGAGGCTTGACACGATCCAACCCTGCGACCCTGACGCTGGTGCTCTAGCTATCAGACATGCACTGCTGACTGCTGCCACAATGTGCGACCTGTGCTGGCCCACTTGGCGGCCTTCCTGGTCAGTGGTGAGGCGCAGTTCAGAGCTGTCGATGGCGCGATGCCGCACTGGTCCCACATTGGTAAGATAAGGTAAGGTAAACTTCTCCACACACACGAGGTGGTGGGGCAAGGGGGGGCAACCCTCGCGTCTCCACGTCTGACGACAGGAGCCCCACGGCATTCAAAGTGCAAGGCCCAGTGCGCGTGGGTGAGCGGTGTGTGTGTGTGTGTGTGTGTGTGTGTGTGTGTGTGTGTGTGTGTGTGTGTGTGTGTGTGTGTGTGTGTGTGTGTGTGTGTGTGTGTGTGTGTGTGTGTGTGTGTGTGTGTGTGTGTGTGTGTGTGTGTATGTGTGTGTCTCACGTCACTGCATCCTCCGCCGGTTCCTCCCGTCGCCTCTTCTTTGTTCGAATGTTTTTCAATCCATCCTTCACGAAGCCCTCCCATGTAGCTAGCGTTCTTGGCGAATGTCTCGAAATGGCCAGCAGGCGCTGTCTGCTCGCGGTCTGTGCGGGCCGCTCGTCCTCCTCGCCCTTCTTTCGTCCTCCCGTCCCTCCCCTCCACCATGGCCTTCTCGGCACTTCTTTCTCCATCCGCCTCGCCCTGCCTTTTCGCATCGTGCCGTTCGCCCTTGAGCCTAGCGCAGCGCGAGATTTGCGCAGCAACCCGGCCGGGCAACCCTTTGAAAAAATCAATTAATAGAGTACCGAGGCAAGTTATGGCTCTCTGATGCCCAATGCGTGCACTCGTCCATCTCTGCATGTGTGGGTTCGTTGAGGTAACACCTACCGGCAAGGCCAGCAAAAAAGAAAAAAGAATGCGGCCCGCAGGGTTCGGACTTTTTGCGGGGTATGGTATGGTAGGGTCGGCGCCCTGGCGCCGCGACCATACCCCCCCACCCGCACAGGACGTCGCCTCTGGCCAGCAGGACCATACCCCCCCACCCTTTTGGCGCCGACCGTACCATACCTTACCCCGCAAAAAGTTTGAATCCAGACGTGATCTCTCCACACCAGAATCGAGAGCGTGCCCTCTCGCCACGCCGCTCCGCCCGGCCCGGCTCTGACGCCCCGCCGCTGTCTGCTTGTGTAGGCGACGACGCCAGGTTTGCCGGCGCATGCACCCACATCTTAGAATAGACACGCACCGAACGACAGACCCACAGCCCACAGCGCACGCGGCACACAGCTGCTCCCAAGTCCCTCGACCCCAGCCCACGGGCGACTGAATCTCAACGGCGGCGGCTGGCGCGCGCGTGCCCTTGACGCTCTCCGTGCCGGACAACATCTGCTACATCGCGGACCAGCGCTCTTTGTTCGCTGCGTGCGGCGGTCGCGCCTCGGGTCTCTCCGGCGCGCTCACCTCCGACTTCTCCACCGCTGACTCCGTCACCGCTTTGCCGTCCGCCTCCTTCCTGCCCCGTGCGTGCCTGACTACTGCGGCCAGGCTATGAACGACGACGATTCGCCCACCGCCGCTTCGTTGCTGCCACTTCCGGGCCACCGCCGCCGTTGTGCCGCCGCCTCCGCCGCGCAATGTGCCGCCGCAGCCTTCACCGCCGCCCCCGATGCCTTCGCCGCCCTGCCGTCGACACTGCCGCCGCCGCAGCCCCCCCGCCTCGCCGCCAGCCCCCCCCCCCCCCCCCAACAACAC